TATTCCATGACTAATAAGCTTAAGGAAAGATGCAGTTTATTATCACACATTTCATTTGCTGAAATTTCATTTCTATTCAAAATATTGCATTCCAATTGAAAAGGCAGTAAGTTTTACCACTGTTAGCATCGCTTTCTACCATGTTGTCGTACGCCTGTTCAGTTTCACCATTGTTGCCATCCTCGCCATCGCCTTCATTGCCGTCCATACTAGAAAGCCTCCAAAAAATGCACTGCTACTGGAAGAAACTATAGATCCGAGTGCTACTGGAAGAAACTAGCTACCTGTTTGATCGCTGTTGGACGGCTTCTCATTCACCGGCGTCGGTACTGCAAAATTCCGAGCTACTGGGTTGAGAGTTGTTTAAGAGCTTCCCTCTTTCCAGTCGTCTTCGAAGAGGGAAATTTGAAAAGGAAAATGTAAAGAAATGAGGGTTTTAATTTTGGGATTTTTGGCTTTAAAAAAAATAAAATTCAACGAGCCAAAATCTAGCCACGTCAGCAATTATAGATACCTTGATGTATAGTCTGATGTACCAATAGCAATTTCCCTCATGCATCGTCCCATGCATAGACCATGTCTAAATAAGCTCATATAAAAAATTTATAGTTACTTTTAAGTAAAATTATAACTTTACTTTTTTAGAGGGTGTTTGGTGGAGATTAAAATTAGATTTTTAGTAGATTGTGAAAGAAGTTTTTGAAATGTGTGGTTGAAAAGTTGTGAGACCCATGAAATATGTGGTTGATATTGATTGTTTGACTTTGACTTGGATTAAAATCAGATTTTAATTTAGACCAAACAGGGGTTTAGTATACGCTTGGGGTTGTGTTCTTAGAGGTAAATGCGTGTTCGGTAAAGATTAAAATCGGCTTAAAATTGAAAAATTAGCCGTCATTGTTGACTTTTATTAGCCGAGTGTGACCTAATAACGGCTATATTTTAAATTCAGCCAAACATGCTCTAAATTTATGTTTGCGAAAATAATTACCTTTAATACCCTGTTTGACACACATTTTTCAAAACACATTCTTACAAAACTCATTTTCAACAACACATTTTTCATCACATCAATGATTTTTCTTACTTTTTAACCTCATATTTCTCATCATATCACTATTTAAAATACATTATTTTCTCAATAATATTCATCAAACACCCCCTAAGTAATTTAAATACAGTAAATTATCAAAAGAATTCATATTCAATTTTAATGTCGAGTTCTATTTTAGAGTTTAGGATAGGCGGATCATTAATTTGAGAAGTGCTTATAAACGGCTCAAGTTATAAATAGACTAAAATAAGTGATTAATAAATTGGTACTACTTGTTGGTTTCTCGAAATATATGAATAAAAAGTGAGTTAAGTGTTTATTAACGGTGCATAAACCGAAGCCAAACATAGACAGAAGATTCTATTGAAGAGCTTTGCGCTTCAATTTGCAATTTTAGTAATGTAAATTCACTCATTCTAACAAGAAAAACGTGATGCACGTGCTTGTCTATTACTAAGCCCCCGTTTGGCACCCGTTTTTTCCCATTTTTGAACAGGAACTTGCATTATGTGTGGGCCCCAGTGTCTTTCAACATGTCAGACTCTGCTGGGATCCGTTCCCAACACGGTTTTTGGTACAAAAGCTGGTACAATTATTTAGATTGAATTTCAGAAATGCCCTTATATTGTGTACTATTGCAAATTAATTTGAGGCCAAAATTGGTAAGTGTAATTCAACGATCATTTGAAGGGAATCTGTGCTCTGACACAACAATTGAATGCTTCTATTTTTTAATGATAAATGCACTGTTTAAAAATGAATTTTTCCCAAAAAACGGGGGCTAAGTTTTCCTCCTCCGGTTTTCTTGTAACGATCTTTTAATAATTATTATCTTGTATAATCGTAATTTAGAAATCATAAATTGCTTTTAAAAAGTTGAAATTTGAAAGTTAAGCTCCTTATGCATTCAAATAAGTACTTCTTTTCTACTTGCGTAATCTTCACTTATTTTTGTCATTTTTGCATGCTCGGACAACGTGCTTGTCTTCTGCCTTTCCAATGCAGCAAAAGATCCGTTCCGGTTCAAATTCGAATTCGAATTCGAATTCAAATTCTAAGCACAACTAAAACAACAGCTACTTTCTCTCAACCACCAATCATAACTCGCCAAGCCAATCACAATTTAAATTTACTCATTTCTGATTGGTCGTTCACTAAATCACTGGTCACCACATAACACCCGAATTCAAACAGACAGCTCCTGTGGGCCCCATCTCTAACGAATACCCAAACTCAATCAACGGTCCAGATCTTCCTCAACACAAATCAACCCTTTTTCCCCGCCTCAAATGCACCCATTAACCCCATTCTTCTTCACTTTCTATTTCTATAGAAATCCATGAATGGAGGTTGAAATTTTTAAAACCCTAAAGCGTAAAATTTTGCTAGGGTTTTGAAAATTCCTTTTATAATCCAATTTCCCCCCTCAAATTTCGAGTGCTCTCGCCATTGTAATTTCTAGATAATCCATTTCTAAGAATGGATGTTTAATTTCAAATTTTCAACGCCTTTAGCGTGAAATTCCAGTAGGGTTCTTGAAAAATCCTTTCGAAAGCCTGTTTTTCGATTCAAAGTTTCAGTCCTTGCCATTGTTTGAAAAAAATAATGGCGAGTGCTGGTGGTGGGGGTAGGAGGTCTACGACAGCCACGGCGTCATCACTGGCAAAGCGGCATGCGTCATCGTCGTCGGGATCAGAGAATTTTGGGAAGGGAGCTACGGCGGCTTCCGCTTTGCCGTCTCAGCATGCGGCCAAGAAA